TCTCTCTCCAGGCACCCCGACCTCGTGGGATGGTTTGGTGAGGGTATGTCTGGCTCAGGGATGGACATCAGACCCACCACTTCTGAAACATGATTATCAGACCTCCCCCACCCCCCACTCCCACCCAGGGAGCCCTTCTGTAGTGAAATATTGTCTTGACTGGTTTGTGCTAGATTCTTGGGGTGTCAGGAGGGCCCTGACTTGGGAGCAGAGGGTTTTAGTCCTGCCTCCACCACTAACTAATCTAGTGCATGCCCTGGCTCGGGCTGTAAGATGGGGCTGTCAGTTTGTGGTGAGAGCCAGCCTCCAGGTGAATGGAGTGTGCTGGGCTTGGACATCAGGCAGAGTGGGGAGACCTGTACCCGAGTCCCTACTCTGCCACTTCTGGACTGTGTGAGCCTGTGTGAGATGTAATCTCTCCAAACCCAGCCTCTCCTGGATAAAGCCTTCCCCAGTGGTGGTTGGAGGGTCAGGTAAGAGCAGACACAAAACACACAATGCCGAGCCACAGCCTGGGCCACCAGAGCAGAGGAATATGTGTTATTCTCCACCCTCACCTGCCAAGGCGCCCATCTATAAAACTAGATGTGGGGAGGGCAGCGCTGGATTGCGTGACAGCCAGATCTGGAAAAGGGGCTGCTTCTTTTCCAGGTGAGCTGGCAAGGTCCCCCAGTAGGTCATGAGAAGGAAGTAGAGTCCTGGCAGGATCAATCCCAGAGCCTAAGACCAGGGAGGAGGCTGGGGACACGTGTGTCTACAACCTGCCCTTTTTCCACATGGCTTTCCAGAACATTGCAGTCCTGCCTGTCCTCTCTGGCACAACTGGACTGGTTGTTAAAGGGGCTAAATATGCCTCTGTGTGCTTGCCAAACAGTCTCTGCTTCAAGCTCCAAGCCCCTAGGTGCTCCCTGGTCCAGAGCCCTCTCTACACCCCCATGATCTGAAGGATGAATGCCTGTCCTTACTCCAGGGCTGCAGCCCAGCTGGCAAAGCCCTGGCTCTGCCTGTTGTTAAATATTTTTTACTTCCACCCTGATGCCTAGTCATAGCCAGGGCACCCTGTTCCAGGGAAGGACTTGTCCAAGTTCCTAAAATTCTGACCCTAACCACACCAGGAGCAAATTCCTAAACTCAGGTTCCTAACCTCACTGGCTTTTATTCCCATCTGCCGGGTCGTGGACTCTGAGCTTTGTTGTACTACATCCTCCTACTGGAGACCAACTGCCTCTGGGGTCATGAATTTTTGCTCATCCCTAACAGGAGATGGGGAGGGCCAGGGGATTGAGCAGATTGTGTCAGAAGTAAAATATGTGTGCTCATTTTAATCCGAGAGAGTCATTTTTCATAGACCTGGTTCCTGAAATGCATCTAAGTCCCATATTCCTGCTGCCTTCCTCCCAGCAAGGCCCCTCTGAGGTGTTTCTCAAAACCCCTTCCAGGCTCTATCTCTGTGCGGGCAAAATGTGTGTTTCCTGAAAACTGGGTCTTTCCTGGAAATTCCTGAGCTAGGAGGTGTGATCTGAGGCTCAAGAGGAGCAATCTGTGGCTGTTAGAAAATGGGAACTTCTTGGGCAACCCCTTCTTGGGAACTTCTTGGGCAACCCACTCTGGAAGCTTTTGTGTCCTCTCAATAAACCCTGCTTTTTCACCAACAAAAAAAAGAAAGAAAATGGGGACTTCTCCAAGGACCCTTATGGCTTTGACATGTTCTGGATGTTTAAAAAGGGAGCAAGATCATAGGATGTATGGGTAGAAATGGAGCCAGGGAGAGCACAACCAGTGGAGGGTTGTTAGAGTCTGGGGTTTGGGGGGAGTTTTGGAGGAATTCGTGGTGAAAAGAAGAGGAATTTGTCAGGAAAATTGATCTTAAGGGAAGAAGACCAGGAAGAGGATGTTAAGGCCAGCAAGGCTTGTCTTCGTGTTGCCAAGGGTTACTCTTGAGTAAGCTGAGCATGTAGCAGTGGCTATAAACATAGGCTTGGGAAGCAGAATTGGACTCCTCTGATTCTAGCTGAGACTCAGTCTCTGGTTCTCTGGTTTTCTGCAGAGTGAGGCTAATAATAACCACTTCTTGGGGTTGGTTGTAAGAAACAAGCAAGACAATAGAGTGTCTACAGCACCTGGTATATGGCAGACACCCCACAGATGGTAGCTGATGTTGCTGTTATGGTTGCTGAGTTAGACAGAGTAGAAAGAAATGGTCAACCTCGTTGGAAGGTACTGGGGTTAGATAATAGGAGAGACCTTTTCTTGCAAGGCAGAAGACCTGGAGTGAGGTCCTGAGGAAAGCTATGGCTGCTTCTTTCCTTCTAAAGTGGACACTGGAGGAGCCAGGCTGGCCCATAGACATCCCCTGCTGGAGGCAGAAGAACTGTGATGGCCGAGAGGACCATGGGCCCTGGGTTCAGAGCCCTGAGACGCAATGGAGTATCTCCCAGGACAGGTCTCCTGCCTGTGCCATGGCCTCCATAGCTCCCCACTGGGATTATAGTTGCCCTCTGAAAAAGTGGGCCAATGGGCCTATAGGTTTTGCCAAAATTGCTCTCCTGATGGTAATCAACCCCTGCCTCCTCACCAGGACAGACCAGAACATGTGTCATGTCCAGGTGGAAGGTAAAAAGTGAGGAGCCCACTGTGCTGGGGGTCTGGCCAAAGCCCACAGTTACACTTCCAGAACCAGAAGAAAAGCATGACCTTTGGCCCAAGTGGCAGGCACACAACAAATGCTGTCAGAGCAAGTTTTGACCATGAAAGTATTCATATTTCAGAGTTGATCTCACTAAAGGAATCTTCAGATTCATAATTGACTGTGAGTTTGACTTGTGTTCTGATTTTGAGGTAGCAGTTGGGGAGGGGGAGGAGAGGTTCTAAAATTGACTGACGTGTCTATCTTAGGGAATAAAGAACCTGGCTGTCCCAGAATCATAGTTCTATTGTTGCTTGTTAAAATTAGGCTCCAGGAAGAACTGGAAGGACAGACATCAAAATAATTGTCTCTGAGTGGTGGGGTTTTAGGGACTCTTTTTTTCATAATACTTTATGTTTTCCCCCAAACCTCAATACAGTTACAAGAAAGAAGAATTGCATCCTTTTGGAAAGGTATAAAATGGTTCTAGCAACACGGAATGGAATGTGCAGACTGACACATCAAGGCTTCTAGTTCAGAAACTTCTATAATATAGACATTTGGTTGGTGGGAGGAGTCCATGGCATTTACTGTGGGCACAGGCTGGTAGTGGGTGGTAAGGAAGATGCGTCTAAGGCTGGGTAAACGCTCATGGAAAAGGCTTAAAGTCCTGAAATTCAAACAGGAGAGGCACGAACTGAAAAGAACAGCCAGGACACCTGAAGAGCACAGACACAAAGCTGCCCCCTTCCGGGGTGTGCTGGCTCAGAGTAGAAACACCCCTCACCTCAGCAACCTTGGGCCCCTGGGGATCAGAAGAGTCTTCCAGGGTCCAGCGAGGAAGCTTCTGGAGCCAAGAGAGGACCTAAGCCCAGGCAGTGGGTGTCTGTAGCTAGTTTGACCTGCTCTCCCCATCAAGGCCACGGACTGTCATTGCCTTTAACCTTTGTTTCTCCTTAGCCTCGTACTCACCCTGATGCCCTAGGATCTAGCATAGGGCCAGGCACACAGTTGGTGCTCAAAAATAATACCTGAAAATCAAAAGATGGAGAGAAGATGGTTAATCCATCTGGAAAAATAATCAGAAGTTTGGCACCCTAAGGTCAATGGAGGCAGGACATTGTGGGGGTGAGGACATAGGCCCTAAGCTCTGGAAGAGAGGTCATTGAAGAGATGGGCAGAAGGAACAGGGGGTGAAGTGAGCATGGCTCCCACAGGCTCAACACCTGGGCAAGGAGCAACGGTAGAGGACAAACTGGGACCTCTAGGTAGGCAGAAGACATGATCCGGGGGCACTTTGCAACTGAGGGATAAAGAGAAGCTGGTGGGGTTGATTTCGGGTCATCTGGGAGACAGAAAGTAATAGGTCTGAGGGGGGCAAAAGTGAATTGGCAGCTGATGTGTGACACAGAGTGTAGGGGTGGCTGTGGATGGGTGGGCAGGGACTTAAGGAGACATTCTCACTACCCCCGGCACTGTGGCCAATGCTGGGACTTGAAGGCTACTTGAGGTGGTTGAACTTGAGATGATGAGGGAGGGGCTGGGGGCTAGGAGGTCCAGGAAGTGATCTGAACTCGAAGAGGAGCAGGACAAAAGGAAGAGCACCCTCACCAAGTGGACTCTGCACCCAAGTCTTAGGGCAAGGTTCTATGGGAGAGGTGGAAACCTCAGAGCCCCAATCCCCTGAGGAGAACATCACCCACAGAGGCATTCAGTAGGAACCAGCCATCAAATCAGGATTACCTGAGCTTTTGCCATCATGAGAGAGAGATCTTCATGGACCAGCCAATACTTCACAGGATCTCTAGCAAGAAACACTAAAGAGGAGAGAGGCAGACTGTTTACTGGGAGGGGCAGAAACACTGCGGTGGGAGGGGATGCACTGGGGAAGGGGCCTGAAGGGCAAAGGAGATGCACATGTCCTGGCCCGAAGTTACGTAAACACGGGAGGGGGAAGGGAGGAGGGGAGATGAGAGGAGAGAGGGGAGATGAGCACCTGGCACGGGGTCTCAATGTGAGTAGCTGTCCGGGCATGATCAGTGTCCATCACCCATTCCAGCCACACTGTGCCTGCTACCTGAGTAAGCTGCCATCTTGGGTGGGCAGGGGAAATGTTGCCTTGTGTGTGAGATGGTAGGAAGGGAGGGCCAATAAAGGTTTTCAATAAAGGAGAATGGAGACACCCCAGGACGCCCTTCCACTCTTCCAGGCTGGAGAGAAGAGATCCCTGAGTAAACAATAACAATACAGCATGGCAGTTGCTGTACTGCAAGTGGGCAGGTCGGGGGAGGGGGTCGTGTTGGGAAAGTCTCTCTAGGGCAACAACCTCGGGATGATGCTTGAAGAGTGAATTCACTATCCTCTCAATCCACAGGAGGGGCTGTCTCCATGCCACCTGCTGACAGTGAGGGTCATCCGGATGAAAAACGTCCGGCAGGCTGATATAGGTGAGTGTCCTCTCTCTCTTTCCTTCTTCCTCTCTGCCCGTGGGGCCTGGATGGAGAGAGGTCCTGGCTGGAAAAACGGTCAGGTGTGTCTCTGTGTGAGCAGGTGTATATACGTGCATGTGTGTGCATACATGCGTGTGTGTGGGCTCTGTGCTCAGGTTTTATTTCAGACTTTGGGGTCCCTGTCACTCTTCCAGATCCCTGGCTGTTGCTGTTCCCTCAGCACCACTGGCCCCCGCAGTCTGTGCCTGTGTCCTAGAACTCTGTTCACCCACTCTCTCCATTTCCAGAAGCTCCAACTTCTCCCACGCGGAACTCTTTGTTCTCCCTGAGTTCGAGGGCTGGTAGGAGTGCAGTAGAAGGAGGGATACTTAGCCATCGTGGAGCCAGCTGCCAGCCAACTCCCGTGTCAGAGCCCACAACACCCAGGTCCACGGTTCAGCCCATGGATATGGCTTGACTTACCAGGGCTGCTTGTGTAGTGTTGTTTTCTAGTGGCCCTAACTCCCCGTTCATCCTGATGCCTGCTGCATTCCCAGGCCACAGGGACCAATGAAGGCATCTGAGTGAACAGTTTCTATCCCACACCTGCCTTTGGGTGGCATTTCAAGATCAGGAGAACCAAAGAACCAAATGCCCTCCCCATGCCGCCCCACCCAGAGGGGAAGTTGGCCCTCAGGGAGGAAAAAGCTCTGTGTCCAGGCCCCACAGCTGGGAGGTGTCCCTACTCACTGGTGACCACCTGGGAATAGCTCAAAGGCCACAGGGATTCCCCCAAAGGCTAGGGAGGGCTGAGAGGGGCAGAGAAGTCACAGAGCCATGAGACAGGAGGTACATTTTAACAAGGGGAGGCATCCATGTCCAGAGAAGTTATAGAATAATAGAAGATGGCATTTTAATTTTGTCGCCACAGAATTTAGAGGCATAGGAGGACACTGAAGGTTGGGAGTGGTCAAGAAAGGCTGCATCTGAGAAGGGCAGGATATGACCAGCCAGAGGCCTGAGGAGTCTGATGGGGGTGAGGGCGGGAAGGCCTTCCTAAGGGAAGAGAGTCATGCCCCCAGAGCACCTGCCTGGGCCCAGGTGTCCAAACACTGCCTGCTCCTCCCAACAGCCTGAGGGGTAGTTCTGAGAGGCCCATTTTGTTGATAAGGGCTAGTGATCCTAAGGAGGAAGTAGTGTTTGATCCCAGGTCTGGAGAACTGGCCAGAGACTAGACCAGCCAGAAAAGGGACAAGCTGGGAGATGGAGGCTAGGGTCAGATATGAAGAACCAGGAAGCCAGGCAGAGGAGGGATCCAATGCCTTCAGAGTGACAGGGTGCCTGAGTTAATGAGAAAGGGACACACGATTTCCTGAGGGCTTACCAGTAGATTGTGCCAGAGCACAAGAGTGGAGAGGCTGGGAACTTGCTAGGAAGCTGTTGCTGCAATGCAGGGATGAGTATGGAGGGATAAATATAGAGGGATGCACGTGGAAGGCCCTCATCCACAGAGACAGCCGAGGGACCGAGCAGGATTCAGACCGAGACTCTGGAGGCGAGGCATCCAGAGCCCAAGCCAGTGGGAGCAGTTCCAACAAGCATCCAGTTCAGGCTTGTGTCTGCTCAGTGGCCAACCAGAGGGCCAGAGACGTCTCCTTAGACTCTTTGGTGCTTTCCCCGCCCACCAGTGAGCTCTCTGAGGAGCCAGGGAGTGTCCCCTGGGCCCAGAACATGACCTTCTCTCTTGCCTTTCTTGCCCATGCCACAGTGGGTCACTCTGCCACTTCTCCCTCTTGGGCAGGGCTCACCCACTCCTCGGGACAGCCCAGCTCCCTCAGGCCCACAGCAGCATTCTCCTTCTTCCTCCAGCTCCTCTTGAGGCATGCCTATCCCAGTCCTTCAAGTCACCTGGCCACACGCTTCCATCTACATTCCTGTGCCTACACACTCAAACCTTCCATTGTCCACGACCCTTTCTTCTGTCTTCTTCCTGCCACACCTGTCACAGAGGGTGACAGGGTATAGGGTGGGGGCAGACAGTCAGAGAAACAGGCTGCATTCTGGCTCTATAAGCCTCTTCTTCTTTTCCTCACATGCCCCTGGGGCATACAGGCTGCCTTTTGGAGATACCCAGAACTCTTTGGGAACTTCTCTCATTGCTTGTTTTCCTCATTTTCCCTGAAAAACGTCATGTGTGAACTTCATGGGTTAGGTTAAGACGATCTCAATGCCTTTCAGGTGCTGGGTAATTCTTGCCCCAATCATTCCCTTCTAGTTTGAATCCAAGATGAACAGATCTCTGATTTAGTCTTGTAACCTGTGCCTGAGTTTTCTAAGATTCCAAAAAAGGCTGAATGGCAGTGAACACACAGAGCTCTAGGAATCGCCACCTTGTTAATAACTAAAAGAGCCCTGGGCCAGGACTGAGACACAATGGGGCCCACAAACCTCCCAGCTGGTCAGGAGTTTTTATTCCTCTTGGGAAGACAAATGAAAACCCAAACCAGCACCCCAAGGTGTGTCAGGCAGGTGTCTTCTCCAGAGGTTAGGGAGACAATGGTCTGAATAATCTGTAGAGATAACTGAGTCATCTTTGACACCCACATTTCAGGAAAGGACACATGTCATTTGGATGACCAAGTCCTCTGTCACTCCATGAGGAACAAGGCTTAGAGCCTGTCTATGCCTAGGAAATCCCCAGTAGTCCATGAAATTCTCAGAATTGGGTCACCCTTGCTTAACCATCCTTTATTGCCAACAGGATGGTCACTCTCCTTACAGTCAGCCGTAGGTGCCTACCCCAGATTGTCATCTGGGCGCTGCTGACCTTTTTCCATCATCGTCCCCTCCACCAGAATCACTCTTTCCTGGGGCAGCACTCTTCTTCCCAACATTTGGTGGGGGGTAAAGGGACAGAGGAAACAGCTCTCTGCAAAAGATCTGAAAAATAAACTCGTGCTTGGAATGCGGGTGTCTGATAGTCTTGACTCATTCAGGAATTTATTTATTTATTTATTTTTTGAGTCAGAGTCTCACTCTGTTGCCCAGGCTGGAGTGCAGTGGCATGCTCAAGGCCACCCCAGCAACAACCTGCTGGGCTCAGGTGATTCTTCCACCTCAGCCTTCCAAGTAGCTGGACCTACAGGCACGCACTCCCATGCCTGGCTAATTTTTTGATTTATTGTAGAGATGAGGTCTCGCCAAGTTGCCCAGGCTGTTCTCGAACCTATGGGCTCAGGCAATCCTCTTACCTCGGCCTCCCAAAGTGCTGGGATTATAGGCTTGAGCCACCATGCCTGGCCCAGGAATATTTTTATCTTCGAGATTGAAGCCTTAAGCCAAAAATACTGAGATTTTATTTAATGGATTTAATGGGAGAATTTTAGACATAGGTCAATGATAGGAAAATCATTTTAGAGGGGAAGGGCCTTTGGGAAGGTCCATCATCCCGCAGGCTCCTGGTGCATAGGAGGCAGACCTGAGGGATAGATTTCAGGCCCAGGAGGAGGGGCCAATGTCAAGGAAAAGCCAAAGAAGGGGTCCAAGAGGGCCGAGTGAGGCTTCCTATTGGCTGAGCAATGAGACATGCTGACCTGCTCACCTGTGTCTGCAGTGATGCAGCCCAGAATTTCTTGGGTACTGATATGGTCCTAGAGCAGTAAGTTGGGTTTTCCATTCATTCATTCATTCATTCATTCAACAAATATCTAGTGAGTGCCTACTGTGTCCCATAGACTAGAGATACACGATCTCCTGGCCTTCTCAGTGTTCACAGTGTGATGGAGACTGACAAGTCAACTTGCTGGTGCAATGCAGTGTAGGGGTGCTCTACCAGGAAAGGAACAAGCCTGTCATCCCAGCACTTTGGGAGGCCAAGATAAGAGGATTGCCTGAGCCCACGGGTTCGAGAACAGCCTGGGCAACTTGGCGAGACCTCATCTCTACAATAAATCAAAAAATTAGCCAGGCATGGTAGTGTGTGCCTGTAGGTCTGGACTGGGTTTACCAGGCCCAGACGTGGGCACTGAGGTAAGGCTTCCAGAGGAGGTTCCTTCTGAAACCTGAAGAGGCTAGCCAGAAGGGTGGATGAAAGTAGAAGAGAACTGTGCTCCAGGCAGAAAGAACAGAATGTGCAAAGACCTAAAGACAAGGCAGTATGGCATCTTTTTGAGACCTAAGAGTGATTATGCTTGGCTGGAGTCTAGAGTGGTGTGTGTGTGTGTGTGTGTACGTGCATATGTGTATGATATATGTATGATGAGTGCACAGAAGCAGGGGTAGGGTGTTAGGGAAGGTGGAAAGATGAGGATGAGGCTGGGGTCGTGGTTGGGACTGCTCCCTTCTGAGGGCAGATGCTAGCCGCTAAAGGATCTTCAACTGGGGAGTGATTTGGTCACATCTAAAAAGCTCCCTTTGGCCACTCTTGGGAGAAAAGACTAGAGTGGGACAAGACAGGAGGCAGGGAGCCCAGCTGGGAAGTGACCCCAGAGATAATGGTGGCCTGTACTGAGGCAGCGGCAGAGTAGATGAGAAGTGGGCGGACTGGAGGGATAAAAAGGGTTAAATCAATTAAATATGAGAGTCAAGGATGCCACTTGGTTTCCAGCCTGGACACCTGAGTGATTATGAGGAGTAGGTTGGGCACGGAGGTGACGGGCGGGGGGTGATGAGATCATCCTTTTCTTCTGATTCTGTGGGATTTTGGTAATTCTTCTCATCTGGATTAAGTGATCATCATGACTTTTAAAGGATAGCATCATCTCATCTTTTTTCAGTGGGAAGAGGGCTGTGAGTTCCAATTCACTAAATGGTGAGCCCTCACAGATTAACTATACTTCAGGGATGAAATCAGAAGCCAGTATCGCTTATGAGGCAAACCAAGGCTACTGAGGCTGAGAAAGGGTTAAGTGTGGCGTCAACATAGGACTAAGTTCCAGGGGGGACAGCCCTGGTTCCATTTTCATCAGCAACTATTAATAATTAATAATAGTTGCTAATAGTTCATCCTCACACCAGCCTAACCATCTAGAAGATTCTCTGACATTGGAAACTGTATTGATTTTTACTATTTTCTATGTGTCAAAAGCATACCCAGGGATTTAACCCAGCAGGTTACCAGGAGAGTGGCAAAGGCAGTCATGGCACCTCTCCCTCCTGCTTTCCATGTAGAATGAAGCAGGGAGCGAGGCTGGCTGCTATTTTTCACCCTATCTCTTCTACTACTCCAAGCAGAAGATTTAGGAGGCCTTCCTCCATAGGAGAGAGCCCGTGGGGTCAAAGCCTTGGCCCTTCTCCAGAGCACATTCAGCAACATCATACTTGGGTTGTTCATTCTTTTTTTTTTTTTTTTTTTTGAGTTGGAGTCTTATTATGTTGCCCAGGTTGGAGTGCAGTGGCACACTCACAGCCACCCCAGCATTGACCTGCTGGCCTCAGGCAATCCTTCTACCTCAGCCTTCCAAGTAGCTGGAACTACAGGTACGAGCTACCACACCTGGCTAATTTTTTATTTATTGTAAAGATGAAGTCTCGCCAAGTTGCCTGGGTTGTCCTGAACCCATGGGTTCAGGCAATCCATTCGCCTCAGCCTCCCAAAATGCTGGGATTACAGGTTGAGCCACCGAGCCTATCCTCAGAATTCTTAAAAAGCACTTGGCCACAGATGTGAGGGTTTCTTGGGTCATAAGCCTCTTGCTGGAGATCAGGATGGGTATGAAGAGCCTGGCTGGGTGCTGTGGAAGCACTAAGCCACATGGAGATAGCAGCCCCTCCTCCTAGAGCCTCCTGAACAGCTTGTTCTACCTAAGCTCTTTCCCACTGGGGCCCTTCTTGGCTGACTCACAGCACACACTGTGTTCCTTCTCATCCTTACTTCTTCACAACCCAGAGGGAAAGCTTGCTCCACTTTGGTTTTCCTGGTGCCCTCGGGTAAGCAAGAAGTAAACTGGATCCTTTGAGGCTGGTCTTCCAGATCTCCCACTGGCAGGGGGAAAACTGTGTGGACATACCTTGTTCCAAACCAGTAGATAAACGTTTGCTCAGAGACTAGGGTGCTTCTTATGAGAGCCAGAGGACTTCTATGTCCATGAGAATGGCCAGTTGGGTCTGAATCCTTCCCTGTGAAACCTAAAGCTTACAGTCTGACCTTCTCGTTGTTCTGGGACAAAGGTCTCTGGAGAGACAGTAGAGGACCTGGAGCTGAGATGAGGCCTGGCTCTGGAAGAGACTTGCCTGGGGCTCCCTTTAGACTCCACGCTGTCTTCTCTCTGAATCCGGGTTGGTTCCTCACCCTTACCTTTCGCCCTTGTCTTTCTTGGACAGTGAGCCAGACAGACTGCTTTGTGAGCCTCTGGCTACCCACTGCTTCTCAGAAGAAGCTGAGGACTAGGACCATCTCCAACTGCCCAAACCCAGAGTGGAATGAAAGCTTCAACTTCCAGATCCAGAGCCAAGTGAAGGTGAGACATGAAGGACTGCACCTGTTGGCACTCACTGCATTTCTCTTCCCCTCTTGCCTACTTGTTCTTTTATTGTTTATGTGTTTTCATTCCTATTTATTTATTTTTTCTACCTACGTCTTGTCCTACCTACCTGTCTTCCCACTCATACACTACTTCCTTCTGCCCGTCTCATGTTTGTTTCTGAATCTATTTATGTAACTATCTTCTTTGTGGTCTCTCTTGTCCTCCTATCTAATTGTTACTGGAACTGGGTGTCTCTCACCCCAAAACAGACTATTTCCAGTACCTTTCAGAGCATGCTCCAAACAGAGAGCCATTCTACTCACTAGGTCCAAGGCCAGTCTAATTCTAACCAGAGGGTCTTCTCTCTTTTAAATCCTTTTCATGTTTCTTTGTTATTTCTATTTTCTTGTTCTTTCATTTTTTTTTTTTTTATGGTTTGTCTTCTTCAGTTACATGGTGACTCTAAGTTGAGTTCACATTTTGTGGGAGAATTATCACAACTTGTGTGAGAATTCTCCCTTGAGCATGCTGACTCGTGACAACCTCAACAGAGAACCCTTCAGACAAATTTGGCCTCATCATAGAAGCATCAACCCATCTTGAGGCACTTGAGACTTGACAGCTCCAACTTGCTGCTTTCATATCTTAGGGATGCCTCTCCATGTTTGCTTCATGACGAGACCTTTTTTAAAAAAAAAGTGGCGAGGGGGCTTTATACTTATTATTTTTAAAATACCTTTTCTATCATATGCATGAGTTTGGTAAAAGAGGAGGATTTTAGCCATCTTGAAATCAGAATTTGGGCTTCCTTTGGGTTGTGGGGTTGCTGGATTGGTTCTGGGACATATTGTTTCTAGTAATTACAGTGTCAATAGATTCCATCCAGTTGGTAAGCCCCAGAACCACCTTGTGTCCACTAAATAGGGAAGCAAGAGGCAAACCCTTGGAAAAAGGCACATCAGAGACTAGTTCAAGTCACCTGAGACCACTGACCTCAGAATTCAGCCAGATGATAGGATTGCTGCGTTACTCTTGACATGCTGCTTTGGGACCATCCATGAGTCCTCATTAGGGGCTAATGAGTCAAAGGATGAGTTCACACACTTCACCACAATCCCACTGATTATGAGAACCCCTACAATCTTTGCCACATCACTCCCCTGGAGTGTTAAAATATTAGCTTCCTGGAGCTGGATTTTCTGGCATCTAGGATCTGTCTCCAGCTCCCAGAGGCCCAATGCTGGACATATTCTGTATCTTAGCAGGAGTCTTGCTTGCTCTGCCCCTTCCATCCTTCCCTCCAGGTGAAATGAAATCCTTCTACACGTCATAGGCTTCAGGCAAGCTTGTAAAAGGGTAAAATTCTCCAGCAGGAGAGTGAAAGCAGAGGGGCAGCAAGGGTTCAGAGAGTTGGAAAGGAGAGAATAGACTCTTTCCTTAATTCTTTTCTCTACAAATGTCTCTCACTCCTGAGCAGGGATCTCTGTGCTGTCTCTCATTTCTCAGACTTACCTCCTTGCTAGGTCTGAGGTCAGGTCCCTCTTCCTGGGAGTGGGTCAGTACAGCCATAGTAACCAGATTTGCACCCTTCCTTCTCCTCTAGAATGTGCTAGAGCTGAGTGTCTGTGATGAAGACACATTGACACCAGATGACCATCTCTTAACAGTTCTCTACGACCTCACCAAGCTCTGCTTCCGAAAGAAAACCCATGTGAAGTTTCCACTCAACCCAGAGGTGGGTACAGGGGCCCAGGCCCTCGGCCTCTTGCCCCATGAGGAGCTGCTGGTTATTCCCATGATGCCATTCCACAGATTCCTCTTTCTGTACACAGCCAAGTTGAGAAAAATTGATGCCGCTGGTTCAAATCCCAGCACTAGCACTTATTGTGTGACTCCATGAAAATTACTCAGCTGATCCGAGTTTCTATTTTCTCACTTATACAATGGCATAATAATACCTACCACACAGGGTTGTTGTGAGGCTGAAATGAGGAAACATAATTAAGGCACCTAGCAGTGTTTGTGGTACAAAATGGTGATGTAGTGAGTATTGGTTCCCTCCTGGCCTTTTCTTTCCTCAAAGTTCTCTTTGTAGGATGAGGGTAAAGGTGGGCAAAGCTGCAAATCAGAGAAAATCAGAGCTGGAGAGGACCAAGATGCTATAGATTCGATCATGCAACAGATACTCGAATAGCTGTGAGATGCCAGGCACTGTTCTAGGCCCTGGGTTGCCTCAGGAACTAGCATCCCTGTCCTCACCTAGCTTACACTCCAGTGGGGAAACTGAGGTTCAGTGAGGTCCTGGCTTGCCTCAGGTTACGAAGGTGCAAAGGAAGAGGTGAGGGAAGGGGTCCCAACCTGCTTCTCTCACCACTCATGGGTGAGTTTTCTGGAGACAATATCTCAGTCTCCCTTGCCACAGGCACTGAACCCCTTGAGAAGGCAGGAGAGCAATGGGTAGCTGGTAGCTGGGGGTAGTAACAAAAAGGAAATGCTCTGGGCAGAGGAATTCAAGTGCTGGGGCCAGAGGTCAACTCCACATCCTGATTTCCCCTGGGTATTCAGTGATATTCCTAATGTCAGAGACTTGACAGAGAAAGGCAAAGGGGAACACAAGAGCACTCCATGACTGCAGGGAAGCCGTAGGGGCAGGTTCATGGGAAACCCTGGGGGCAGCAGAGAGTTCTGGTCAGCAGAGACATGCAGACATGGCTCACAGCTGCCTTCCCTTCCTTCCCCCGCCAGGGCATGGAAGAACTGGAGGTGGAGTTCCTGCTGGAGGAGAGGTAAGTAGGTGCCCGGTGCCCAGGTCCACCAAGGTCCTGACCAGCAAGTGGCTTCTGGGCATGAGCATTTCAGAGTCCGATCAGCCTTTTTGCCATCTTCCCCTCTTCCAGCCCTACTCCTGGCGCCAACCCTGGACTCACACTGCATCAGAATCATGGGAGCTTCTAAATAGTGCAGGTGCCTGGGCTCCACCCCTACTCGTCCAGTTCTACTGACGTCAGCACTGCTGTAAAGATCTAGTACTCTGCCTCAGTCCTTCTGCATTCTTGAGGGTGGCCTCTAGGCGGAATTCCTCTAGGCAGAATTCCTGCCACTGTAGTAATGGGGACCTTGTTGAGGCCCAGATAAGAAAGAGGTCAGGACCAAGAGTTCTCCTCCTTGACTAGAGCTGTTAGAACAAGCACCCTCAAACCTTGGTCTAAAGCAGAGCGCATTAGAGCTCTGCAGCCAAATCTGGAAACAAGTAGGCTCAGGCCTAACCTGTAGAGTTGTTTCCAATCATTTTCAATTGGGAAAATGACCCAGAGTCCTGGAGGTACGACTATGCTGGGAACTCACTGAGCTGGAGGACTGGAAGAAGAGGACAAAGAGAGAAGGAAGAAAGAAGGAAAGAGGCAGTGAGGGAGGGCATAAGCCCCGCCCCAGGATGGGCAGAGCGCCCTGTGCTTGGGCAGGCTGCTTCTCGCTCCTCCCTCTTCTTCACCTGCCAGGGCTGAGCCCCCCCCCAGTACTTATATGAGCCTGGGAGGATGAGAAGTCTGAAATAAGACAAGAGGGCTTGTCACCCACCACTCAGAGAATCCTCTGCCTATGGGAGCTTGGAACTATTTGAGGGAACTTATTTCCCATCAACAACTGATTGGCAAATTAAAATCAACTTTTACGCGTATTGAAGAAAATTGAAGCTCTTCCCTCCAGTTCTTGGTTTGACAGGACTTTCAGAGGAAGGAAAAACTTACTGGCTGAGTTAGAAAGTGGCTTACAAAATGAACTCTGTCAAGCATGGTAATGAAAGTTGATCTGAAGACACAGTCATCTGGGGCTTAATTTTGACGAGGCAGGCTCTGGACTCTCCTAGGCTCATTGTAAACTTGGAGGCTTATACTTTTTATTTTACGGCACAAGGACATCTGACATTCACCAGGAACCTTTCTGGTACAAATTAATTAAAGCACAGAGCTGGGTGCAGAGACTCATGCTTGAAATCCTAGCAATTTGGGAGGCTGTGGCCAGGAGTTCAAGTTCATCCTGGGCAGCATAGCAAGATCCATCCATCCATACACAAAACAAACAAATAAATGAATAAGGCACAGAATAGGTTATTTTCACAGCCAGAACTGTTTATGTGTGCTTAGGCTGGTAGGTGGCAGCAATCTCTTTCAACCTGTTCATCCTTCTAACTCCATGCAATTGCATCTGGTTGCACATAAAGAACAATTATCCTTTTTTTTATTATTATTATAAAGATGTGGGGTACAACTCAGGGTTAGGCATACAAACATTGATTATGTAGCTACTCTTGTTGGTGAGGTATGCCCCTCCCTCCCCTAGCAGTTTCCCTCAACTGCCAATCCCTTTCTTATAATATTATAATAATTGTTCGAGGTCCACTTATGAGTGAAAACGTGGTACTTTGTTCTTGGTTTCTGTAATAAATCACTGAGTATGATCAACTCTAAATCCATCCAAGTTGCTGCAAAGTCCATATGTTTGTCCTTCTTTATGGCTGAATAATATTTCATTGTGTATATGTACCACATTTTTTTTTTTTATCCAGTCCAGCTTCGATGGGCAACATGGTTGGTTCCATGTTTTTGCTATTGTGAATAGAACTGCAACAAACATACCTATGCAGGTATCTTTTTTGCAGAATGATTTTATTTCCTCCAGATATACTCCCAATAGGGGAATTACTGGGTCATATGGAAAGTCAATTTCTAGTTCTTTCAGAAATCGCCACACTGTCTTCCAAAGAGGTTGCACTAATTTGCATTCCCATGAACAATGTAGAAGCATTCCTTTTTCTCCACATCCTCGCCAGCATCTGTTGTTGTTGTTTGATTAATGATGGCCATTCTTACTAGGGTTAGGTGGTATTTCAATATGGTTTTGCATTTCTCTGATGATGAGTGAGGTTGAGCACTTTTTCTTTTTTCTTATTTTTGAGTTGGAGTCTCACTCTGCTGCCCAGACTGGAGTGCAGTGGCCACTCCCGGCCACCGCAGTCTCGACCTGCTGGGCTCCGGCGATCCTTCTGCCTCAGCTTTCCAAGTAGCCGGAATTACAGGCATGCGCTACCATGCCCGGCTGATTTTTTTATTTATTGTAGAGATGAGGTCTTGCTGCCCAGGCGGGTCTCGAACCCGCGGGCTCAGGCAATCACTCACCTTAGCCTCCCAAAGGCGCGGGATTACAGGCTGAGCCACCGAGCCTAGCTGAGCACTTTTTCATGTGTCTGTTGGCTGCCTGTATATCTTCTTTTGAAAAGTGTCTATTCATGTCTTTTGTCCACTTTCAAATGGGGCTGTTTGTTTTTTTCCTTTCTGCACATTTGAGTTCCTTGTAGATCCTAGATGTTAGGCCTTTGTCAGATATACAGTTGGCAAGTATTTTTTCCCATTCTGTGGGCTGTCTCCCTGCTCTTTTGACAGTTTCTTTTGCTTTGCAAAAACTGGTCAGTTGGATGAGATTCCACTTGTCTATCTTATTTCTTTTTTTTTTTTTTTTTTTTGAGTTGAAGTCTCACTCTGTCGCCCAGACTGGAGTGCAGTGGCCGCTCCCGGTCACCGCAGCCTCGACCTGCTGGGCTCCGGCAATCCTTCCACCTCAGCCTTCCAAGTAGCTGGAATTACAGGCGCGTGCTACCACGCCTGGCTAGTTTTTTTGATTTATTGTAGAGATGAGGTCTCGCCAAGTTGTCCAGGCGGGTCGCGAACCCACAGGCTCAGGTAATCCACTCACCTCAGCTGCCCAAAGCGCGGGATTACAGGCTGAGCCAATGAGCCCAGCTGTCTGTCTTATTTCTTAAGGTATGGCATTTAAGAATCTAAATAGGAATTGGTTGCCAGTTCCAATTTCCATAAGGGTGTCTCCTGCATTTTCTAAGATTTTTTATTTATTTATTTATTTTGAGTTGGAGTCTCACTCTGTCACCCAGACTGGAGTGCAGTGGCCGCTCCTGGCCACCGCAGCCTCACCTGCTGGGCTCCAGTGATCCTTCAGCCTCAGCCTTCCGAGTAGCCGGAATTACAGGCATGTGTTACCATTCCCAGCTGATTTTTTTATTTATTGTAGAGATGAGGTCTCGCTGCCCAGGCGGGTCTCAAACCCGCGGGTTCAGTCAATTCACTCACCTCAGCCTCCCAAAGGCGCGGGATTACAGGCTGAGCCACCGAGCCCGGCTAGATTTTTTTTTAAATGAAACTCTTCTATTTCCTCTAACCTATAATTTTTTTCCCCTAGACATTCTCTTTCAGTATCTCAGTTTCCCCCTTGACAACCTACAAATTAAGGTTACTTAAGCCAATATTTTTCATGAGAACCAAGAAGCCGCTACTATTTTGTCACTGACCCTATTTAAACCCTTTGTTACCTTTATGATAAATCAGTCAAGAATGATAGAACTGACCGGGAGTTCTCACTTTGTTTTTCAGCCCTTCTCCACCTGAGACCCTCATCACCAATGGCGTGCTGGTGGTAATTGTCCTTCTGGGATCCCATAGCTCCAGAGGCCACATCTGCCTGCTGCTCTCAGGGGAACAGAACCAAGGGAGAAAACTCTAGGCCCAGCTTGGTTCCTTGTCCTGTCCTGAGTCCGGTGGGAGTCAGCCTAAATGAGGCCAGCCAAATGGGGTGCAGACAGGAGATAGCTGGGACATTACCTGGTCCAGCACACCATATCCCACAGAGATAACCCCTCCTTTTGAGAACCTCCTCAATAAAAGGACCCATTAAAGGGCAACCTCCTCCCAGACTCAGTCCTGGCCCTGGCCCTCACTACCCCAATACCTCTGCAAGCACTATTTCAGTATTAAATTTTTTTCATAAGTCAGCTGATATTTCAGCATAATTCAGTTGGTACAACTATTTTAATTAAATGCATCCAGTTCCCCAGAGTTCAAGTATACCTCTCCCTCAACAAGAAGAGTCTTTGGGAATCTGTAGCAGAGGAATGTGAACTGCCTCTGCTCCTTAACAAGCCTGTTTTATTGGAAGCTCTCACATTCAAAGCCCAGAGCTGAACGTTCCCTCAGGTCAGATCCCTGACCTGCAACTGAGAACGTGACCCCTCGTAAACTGTGATCGTGCATCCAGACATCCGAGGACAGTCTTATTTTCAAATACCCTATCTCTGAGTGAGATGACAGACCTTGACTGGGTTCAAAAGATGTAGTCAACACAACCCTGGTTCCCTGGTGTCAGCCCAAAGTCAGACCAATGCTGAATTTATCCTTATATCCTTCATCTTCTCTCTTCAGCTTGGAAGAGCTGGGAGGTGGCCGGTGTTCAGACTCTCAGTGACTCTCCCTTGCTTTTTACAGTCTCGACAAGCCTCCTGCCTCGAGGTTCATGCAAGATCCAGGAGGCAGAGGAAGAGTGAGAAAAGTGAGCTGGTTTACCTCTTCTGCTTTCTGGGATGGGGAGGTGGAGTGCTGCTTCCAAACCCTGTTGACATCAGATTCAGCCTGATCCTGGGCTTCCCTGGGCTCAGGGGTCCAAAAGCTTGGCCGAAATACCTCAGGATCATCTCAAACTCAGGGGTCATGATTCCTGGCCTCCCCAGCATACTCTGTAAAGGATATGTTCTCTCTCCTAGGCCCCCATGTAGCTCTTGGAGTTCCCAGACTTGATAAGTGTCCTGGGCCTGAGGTCCCAGTGCTATCCCTTCTGTACACACCCATCTGTGTGCCATGTCCTGCCAGGACCTCAGGTTGCCTGGGTCAGTGAGGTGGTCAGCACCGGGTGTGGGTGGGCACTGACAAGACTCAGGACCCTTCTAGCTTTGCCCTTCCTCTAGCCAGATCATAATTCAGAGAGAGTCCTAGTACTTTGTAGCTAGCAGAGGTCTAGACCTCCTTCTCCCTACTCTATCCCATTGTATCCATACAATGGATACAACATGCAATATGTCTCCTACAACAAGGAAGAGGGAGGTGTGGTAAGGCATGTGGGCTCAGGCATGCCTCAAGACCTCCAGCCTTGTCCAAGAGGAGAGAGCAGTGTGGCCCCGTAGACACTGGAGGAGGCAGAGAAAGAGAAAGAAGCTTCTACCCCACCAACTGCCAGTATGCTGAGGGCCTACTTTCTCTTCAGTGGGCAGATGATTTGGGGGGATCTTCTGGCAAAGCAGAACCAAAGAGGACTAGTCTTGAGGACTCTGTCAGCATCTCAAAGGATTTTCTGGGGACCACATTTGTCAGCATCACTCACAAGCCTTGTTGAAATGTAGATTGCTAGGCCCTGCCCTGCCCTACAGAATGAGAATCTCTGGGACATCTGAAATAGCACCCCATATGATCCTAGACTTCTCCCAGGCACCTCCAGATAGGGTTTTGTTGGGTCAAAGGGGGGATGGGCAGCAAGAGGCTTCCCAGGGTCTCATCCTCTTGTCCTCTCTCTCAGCGAAGGATCTCCTGGTGACAGTGAGCGAGTCCTTTGAGCATACCCAGCGCATCTGGCCCTGCCAGGGGCACTGCTGCCCAAACCCTGCCTGCTTCCACTACCCCAAGTACTTTCAGTCCCAGCTGCACGTGGAGGTGCCCAAGAGTCACTGGAGCTGCAGGGTACAAAATGGCTGTCACGAGGGTGGGCATTGGAACTGGGGCAGGTGGGGGCTGCCAGAAGACTCCCTCTCATGGAACCCACTCATCCCCCCAGCTTTGCTGCTGTGGCACTCACCAGAACGGCCCCATCTGCCAACCCCTCGATGGCCTTTCTGATGATGAGGCGGTGACCCTGCCTGTGGTGAGGACCTAGGTCTGGGAAGGGACCCCTGAGTGACTTAACCTGGAGCTCTTATGGTGGGGGGGGGATCCTGGGGCGGGGGGGCATAAGAGGGAAGGTGGCTCATGGGGGTCTCTCTCAGGCAGGATAGAGGAGTCTTATGAGGCAGGAGACTGATGAGCTACAGTGTGGCCCAAAGAAAGTGTGAGGTGAAGATGGTGGGGACAAGTGGGGAGAGGGCATGCGTGTGTGTGCATGCATGTGTGGGCATATATGTGTGCTGAGTCAACTTTGGAAGGACAGTCTGGAGAGCTTCTGCCTCTTTGGTTGGGATCTGAATTGTCATCTCTGACAAGTTTTTCATCTTTCTGTCCTCAGGGCGAGAGTTATGAATTACACTTGAAGTCTACACCCTGGTAAAGTACCCTCTTTCTGTCTGTCCTTTTAGCGTGTTCATTCCAGTGAGTGGGAAGTGATATCTCACTGTGGTTTTGATTTTCATTTCCCTGATAACAAATGATGTTAAGTGACTTTTCGCTGGCCTATTGGCATTTGTAGATCTTCTTCGAAGACATTTCTATTCAGATCCTTTGCTCACTTTTTAAGTGGGTTATTTGTGTTTTTTACTGTTAAGTTGTGAGAGTTTTTGTATTCTGGACACAAATCCCCTGTCAGACATGATTTGTAAATGTTTTCTCATATGCTATGACTTATATTTTCATATTCCTGATGATTTTTTTTGAAGCGCAGAGGGCTTTCGTTTTGATGAATGTATTTATTTTTTCTTTTGTCACTTATGCTTTTGATGTCATATCGAAGAAATCAGAACCCATTGCCTAATCCAAGGTCATGAAGATTTATTCCCATGTTTTCTTTTGAGACTTGTATAGTTTTAGCTCTCACATTTAGGTCTATGGTGGATTTTTAGTTGATTTTTGTGTATGGTGTGAAATAGGATTCAACTTTTATTCTTTTGCATGTGAGTATCTAATTTCCCCAGCACCATTTGTTGAAAAGCACCACTGAATTGTCTTGGCACCATTGAATTGTCTGGGCACCCTTGTTGGAAATCAAGTGACTGTCATTTCTATTTATTATTTATTTATTTTGCCCTTGGGCACATTTTTTTTAACCTCACTAAATCTCAGTTTTCCTCATCTGTAAATTGGGAGAATAACAAGAATGCCATACGTCACTGGGTTGATTGAGGATCCAGTGAGACAGCACATGGGAAGCACTCAGTCACCCATCTGGCAAGTGGGATGCTCAGCACATATCAACTAATATTATTGTTGCTATATAATTATTGTATTATTATTTATTTCTTGCTGAAGCCAAGGAAAGGGTTATATCCTCACAGCTGTGTCTGCAGTCCTTTGCTAGACGTGGAGGAGATGTGATGGGAGAGTTCCCAGGCCCTGCCTTTAAGGCCATGTGACTTTTTCAGTGAGCCAAAGGTTCATGGCGGAAATAGTCAGGGTCCATTCACCGGGAGGTCCTGGGGAGCTGGACCTCGGAGGACGCAGTGGTGTTGGTGGGCAGTGGGAGGATATGTTAGATGAGGGCCAGGGTCTGCACAAAGGCTCAGAAACCAGAATGCTCCTGGGGGCTCTGAGAACCTGAGAGCCCCCTTCCAGGAAGTAGCATGAGGTGAGCCTGCCCAGGCAGGGTCTTAGGTGCCAAGCCAGGACCCTAGGTTTGTTCAGGGCAGGGTTGTTGATAAAAAGAAGGAGAGCACTGGGTGTGTCATGGCTGCTGCCGTCCCACCTGCCTTGCAGACCTGTGGGGATGGCACGGTGAGATCAGGGATGGGAAGGCTATTGCCAGTTGCACAACCCAGGAGGATTATTATTCTGGGAACAGTAGGCACTCGATGAACAATGTGAGCTCCCTAGGAATAGGGAATTTGTTTCTCTAGCTCAGAGGAGTCTATACTATAGGGCTTTGCCCAGAGGGATTTGCCAGCAGGATCTCAGGGCCCCTTATCACCCATGTCTGGCCTCGGGCTATAGAAGGTACCTGGGAAAAGGCTTCCTGGACTTTCCAGATCTTGCTGAGAAGGCAGAGGGCTCAGAGAGTCCCTAATGCAAGTAGAGGCTATCATCCTTTGTTGGTCACCATCGTCCAGTGTGCCACCTAGTCCTTTGGAGACTTTATAGTTACCTCACTAAGTGTTGAAGGCAGTGCTTGAGTGTTAAGCCCGATTTGCCCCATGTTACAGGTGAGAAAATGGAGGCCCAAGATGATAGAGGAGGTACATGGCAGAGCTAGGCTTCAAGCCTAGGTCTGACTGACCCTAAATCATGTCTACATGGGGGTAGGGGTTACAGGCCCATTCAGCCAGCAACATCTCTCCCTACAGTTCTGAGACGCTGGACGTGCGGCTAGGCTTCAGCCTGTGCCCGGCAGAGCTGGAGTTCCTGCAGAAGCGGAAGGTAGTGGTGGCCGAGGCACTGAAGCAGGTGCTGCAGCTGGAGGAAGACCTGCAGGAGGATGAGGTGGGTGAGCAAGGCGGCCGGCCTGGGCTCAGGGCCCCTCCAAACACCACGCCCTGCCAGCCACCCCAGGCCCCGGCCTGCCCCACCCCAGGCACTGCGTCCATGATGCCCTGGTGAGGTTCCGAATGCTCTAGCAAGGGCCATGCTTGACATGATTCAATTGTATATTCACGAGGCAAGGGGAAAGTGAAGTAGAGATAGAAAGAACAGGGCCCAGGGGCTCCTCCCAAGCACTAACTGATCCTGAGGGGACTCATGGTGCCTCACTTACCCAGGGGTGAAATGACCATCTCGCCCAAGCCAGGAAAACTCTTTAAGTGTGCCACCTCCTGCACCCCACACCTCCACCTTGAAGTTCTTGGGTTCTCCTTTTCTCAATTGTGTCTCCTCTCAAATTGGCACATGTAAACACATCCCCAGGAATCACAGCAGTAGGAAGCTGGAGAGAAGCACCTTGCACTCCCTCCCAGAGTCTGTCTCTTCTTCCCATGGAAATGGACAGTGATGCCTTTGTCAGAGCCCTCTGTCACCTTCCTTGTGTGGACCAAGGCCCACAGCCCCCCTGGTCAGCAGGAAAGCCCTCCCACTGCATGTTTTAGGTGAGGACAGAGACCCACTGCAAGCCTGAGAAGGACTTGTGATTGGGCTTTAGTCAACAGAAGGATCTTACAGTCCCCTCTTAAATGGAAACAGAATTAGTCTGGACAAAGAGCCCCACCTCACTCCCATCTTCAGGGACCCCACCAAGGGCATCTTAAACCTCTATCAGCCCAGAGCTGGCAATCCTGCTCCTTCGATCATTCCTTTACTTCCACCCTTAAAAATATAGTACGTGTCAAGCATGTGCCATGTGCCAGGCCTGGGCCTGGTGCCCTGCATCAAAGCCATCTACAGAAGATGTCAGCTTGTCATCACCAATGTGTGTAGAGGGATCACACATTGGTGATGTTCTTGAATGAGTGAGGGGCCCACTGGCCTGGACCCCAGTGTAATCATCCATTAACTGAAGGCTGGAATAACATTGCTAAGAACTCATCTAGCTATGGCTAGGATTTACCAAGCCTGAGTTAGGCTTCAGAGCCCTTTATTGACACCAGCTACTGGGCTTGGAGCTAGGCTCTAATTCTAAACCTACAAGGTAGCTCACGGTTCTGGAATGGCAGGTGGCTCAGGGCCCCACTCTCTGCTCTCCATAACCAGCTCTGCCTCATCCATTGTTCTTTCTAAGCCACTCTCTGTCATTCCAAGTCTTCTCCCACCAAGCCTTGCCTCTGCAACCTTCCCCGACCGTCTGCCTCTGTGTACCCCCAGGTGCCACTGATAGCCATCATGGCCACCGGGGGCGGAACAAGATCCATGACCTCCATGTATGGCCACCTGCTGGGGCTGCAGAAGCTAAACCTCCTGGACTGTGCCTGCTACATCACTGGCCTGTCAGGGGCCACCTGGTAAGGAGATACCAGCCACTGCCTGGTGGAGCCCAGAGCAGGCAGCAAACAGGCTGGCTCCTCTGTGGCTGGCTTCACAGGCTGGCTTCTCCTGTGAAGCTCTCCTTCCCACTTCAAGAAGAAGTAGCTCATGAGGCTTGGGAAGCTCCACCACATACAGTTGTGTGACTTCGGGCATGCAGCTGAACTCGGAGACTCAGTTTCTGTATCTGTAAAGTGGGGATAGCAATAGCTCTGACCTCATGGGGTTGTTGTAAGAGGCTGTCCCAGGACCAAGTACACCAGAGACACTACATAAGCGGCCATTATTGATGTTACTATATCCCTAGGGCTGTGGTAGAGATCCAGGAACATGGTGGCCAACTATGAGTGAAACACTGGGGCCACCAGCTCCCCACATCCTGCTGGGGACATGCAGCGGGCAGGACCTTGCTGCTGGGCTCCCACCTGCTCACTTTCTTCTGGAGAGTGGGGGAGGCCAGGGTGAGGTCAGCTCACCCACAGAAGCACAGTGCCTGGGGCCCCCAAGAACGTGTTAACTTTTTTCAAAACTAAAAGAAAAAAATGAATGTATAGGTTGAAATAACTCTTTCAACAAATAGCATCAATATAGTTGTCTTTATACAACACCGTCATAAGATAAAATTTTTTTGGTGGGGGGTTGGAGTCTCACTCTGTCGCCCAGACTGGAGTGCAGTGGCACGCTCCCGGCCACCACAGCCTCAACCTGCTGGGCCCCAGGGATCCTTCCACCTCAGCCTTCCAAGTAGCTGGAATTACGGGCCCACGCTACCATGCCCAGCTAACTTTTTTTTTTAATTTATTGTAGAGATGAGGTCTCACCAAGTTGCCCAGGCAGGTCTCGAACCCACGGGCTCAGGCAATCCACTCACCTCGGCCTCCCAAAGCACAGGATTACAGGCTGAGCCACCGAGCCCAGCTAAATTTTAATATTTTTGATGATGGAAGGGGCTCATGGAAACCATCATGTGGCTATGGTTCACAGTGGCCTCTCAGCCAGGCTGTGCCTTATTCTGTTCGTGACAGGTGGGCATATGAGCCCTTGAGGTCTCTTTTTGTGCCTTTTATTCTAGAGAAGCCCTGGAAAGCTCTCATGTGAGCAAGGGGATGTGAACTGGTGCTTAGGAATGCTATGGATCCTGGTGCCATGCACCTCATCTAGGGGCAGAGATGTCAGCCCAGGTGGGATGGAAGGGACCGCCACCACTGTCAGCAGTGTTGCCTTTTGCAAAGCACTAGAGTGACTGTTTCCTATGGATCATCTCATTTCTTCCTCACAGCAAAACTATGGAGAAGTTCTGTCATTATTTAGCTGGAGAAACAAAGTGATCAATCAGTGGTAGAGCTGGGATTTGAACCCAGTCCCAAATTCTTGTTGTTTTTGTTTGTTTGTTTGTTTGTTTTTAGAATTGTGGGGCACATGGCAGGACATGCTATATAGGTAAATTGCATGAAGGCAAGGTTTGGGCTTTAGTAAGCCCTTTCCCCACCAGTAATGAACACAGTACCCAATGGGTGGTTGTGTGCTCCTCATCCCTCCTTACCCCTCCCCCACCAAGTAGTGTCCAGTGTTAGTTGTTCCTGCCTTTGTGCTTGCACACCCAATGTTTAGGGCCCCTTATGAGTGAGAACATGTGATATTCAGTTTTTTGTTTCTCTGATAGTTCACTTAGAATGATGGTCTCTAGCTGCATCCATGTTGCTGCAAAGGACATGATTTTGTACTTTATGGCTACATAATATTCCATCATGTATATATACCACATTTTCTTTATCCAGTTCACTTTTGATGAGCATCTGGGTTGCTTTCACATTTTTGCGACTGTGAATAGTGCTGCAATGAACATGCATGCAGGTGTCTTTTTGGTAGAGTTATTTATGTTCCTCCGGGAATATTCCTAGAAGTGGAAATGCTGGGTCAAATGGTAGCTCAATTTTGAGTTCTTTGAGTAAATGCCAGACCCACATTCTTAGCCTCCATATTAAACAACTGCCCTGGGTAGTAAGTTAAGAAGATAACTGCTTCCAGCAGGATTGAAGGGTACCTGTGTCCTCCAGGCTACTGTGGGCCAGACAGAAAACAGGGAGGAACTCAGTCCTGGACAGAGTAGAGGTGAAGAGTAGTGGTAAGCGGGGAGGGTTCCTGGCCTGGAGAAAACATGAGAAGTATTCTTTTTAAAAACCCATTTGCACCAGGCTCGGTGGCTCAGCCTATAATCCCGCGCCTTTGGGAGGCTGAGGTGAGTGGATTGCCTGAGCCTGAGGGTTCGAGACCTGCCTGGGCAGTGAGACCTCACCTCTACAGTAAATAAAAAAATCAGCCGGGCGCGGTAGTGCATGCCTGTAATTCCGACTACTTGGAAGGCTGAGGCGGAAGGATCGCCGGAGCCCAACAGGTCGAGGCTGCAGTGGCCGGGAGAGGCCACTGCACTCCAGTCTGGGTGACAGAGTGAGATGCCAACTCAAAAAAAAAAGAACTTTCTTATTTAAAAAAAGCAACAGCATATTTGAAATATATATATATAATAGAATCAAATTCCCATTTTTATTCATAATAACTAAAAGCAAAGCAAAAACTGTATATAAATAAACTAAACAGAAAATAAATGAACAAGATTTAATGAGGAACAATTGTAAAACACCATTAATGTACATGTGTGCCCCCACACACATACACACATACAAACTTGATTTTAAAAAAACATTTGATCCTTAAACTCAACATTATAAAGATATTAATTTTTACCCAAATTAATCTATAAATCTGTAAGTTCAATAAAATACAAATAGGTTCATCTTCTTTGAAATTAGGCAGGCTGACAATAAAGTTAACATGGCCAAACAAACATTTGAGAAGAACCAGGAATTCTTTGAACAAAAGTTTCAAGAGGAGGATTGGCAATACAGATATGAAAGCAAATGAAGGCAGAGTAAATTTTAAATTCTGTCAGTGGCTAATAAAGGAAGATGCAGGGATATCAGTAGAATAAGATGGAGAGCCAGGCATCAAGTTTCCCTAGAATTTAAATACAAGCTAAAGGAGGTATTAAAACCAATGGGGAAGAAAGACATGAACAGATAAATGAAGCTGGAATAAGTAGTTAAGCATCTGAGAGGAGATGAAGCTATTTCTTATTTCTTTCCTTATACCAAAACAAATTCCAGATGAATCTAATATCTCAACTTTAAAAAAAAAAAATGTGTTTTGAAATGAGGCAGTTCTCACCTCATCAGCAGGGGAATCTGCATAATGATCACTTGTATACCTAACCCTGAATTGTACCTCACATCTTTAAAATAAAAATAAATTAAAAAAAGGAATGAGGCAGTTCTATGAAAGCAACATATAAACTCTATATGTCATTAAAAAATTAATGAATTTTCACTAAAAATAATAATTTTTATGAGGAAAAACTTAAATGTTGTAAAAATATAAAAGGAAAGAACAAAATGAATACATTACAATTTATTTAGCAGGAAAATGTTTATTTACTTAATATCTAAATATTTCTTATAATTATATGACAAAAGGAATCTAAAAAATGATTTTTCTTAATTACTGGCCTGCAACTTAGTCCACTCAAGCTGCTATAACAAAAATACCATAAACTGAGTGACTTGCAAACAACAGAAATATATTTCTCACAGCTCTGGAGACGGGAAAGTTCAAGGTCAGGTCAGCAGCAGGTTCAGTGTCTGGTGTGGCCTACTTTTTTTTTTCTTAGGAAAAAATATATTTTTTATTTTTTTAAGTTTTATTTTAAAGGTGTGGAATACAATTCAGGATTAAGTACATACATGGTCATCACTCATAAGTGAACCCTGAGCATTTAGTACTACAAGAAAGGGATTGGCAGTACTGGTGTGGGCCTACTTTCTAGTTCATAGATGGTGCCTTCTCAGTATGTTCTCATATAGTGGAAGAGGCAAGGAAGCTCTTTGAGGCTTCTTTAATAAGGTCCTAATCTCATTTATGAGGACTCTGCCCTTGGGACCTAGTCATCTCCCAAAAGCCCTACCTCTTAATGCCATCACATTGGTGACTAAGTTACAACATATGAATTTTGGAAGATTCAAATATTCAGACCATAGCAACCTATCACATAGATGAGAGGTCCATTGAAGACTCTCAAGCAGGAAAGCAGCCTCGTGAGATTTGCATTTTGAAACAATCACTTGGCGGTGACTATGACTGACTGGCATAGGGGCGGAGTGGAATCAGGGAGACTAATTAGGAGGCTGTCTCAGGGGTGCAGGTGAGAAGGCCAGAACTAAGACAGTGGCAGAGGAGGGTTAAATGAGGGTTGATAAGGATATATAAATGGCAGAACCCAGGGTCTGTCTGATGTGGGACAGAGGAATCCAGTCAGTTTGTGAAGACCCCAAGTTTTCCAGCTTAAGCAGGTGGGTGAATTGTAGTGTGATAAAATGGAAAAACAGACAAGCAGTAGGTTTAGGGGGAAGATAATGAACACATTTCCGCTTCTGTGGACTTTCTGACCCATGCAGTTGGGCATAGTTATGAGTAAACGTGTTTCAGTAGTGGGTGCTCATGGTGGTGGTGGGGGAAATGATTCTTTTCAGCAGTGACAAACAGTAAATGAGGTTCAAGGGAAGAGAAAAGCCCTCATGAGAATGGTGATTTGTAGAAGGAAATGTGGCTAAATTAAAATGATATATGTCTGTTGGCACTAAAGATAAGGCAGGAGACAGACATCTGTCTTAATCAAGATTATAGCACCTGATGTTCCAGTGAAGGGAGGCTGGCAAAGCTGGCAAGGAACAGCAGGCAGGATGACTTAGACAGCCTGATGAATGAATTACTGTGTCATGGGAAAGAAACGCACCTCACCCAAAAATACACAGAGGGTCTCTTTCTGGAGATTGTATGTCTCCGCATCCCACAGAGGTTGGGTGTAACCAGGGTGGGACTGGCCCTGCTAACTGAAGCAGAAGTAGCAGAGGCAATTGAAAATAAAATTG